CGCACTCCATATAACAACATTAAGGACAAACACACTTCATATGACAGTATTAAAACAAACACACTCCATATAACAGTACCAAAGGCAAACACACTCCATATGACAGTATAAACGACAAATACACTTCATGTGACAGTACTTAAGACAAACCCACTCTATATGTCAAGCATCCCTTATCGTGTGGAAGTAGTAGAGACAAACACACTCCATATGGAAATATTAAAGACAAACGCACTCCGTATAACAACACTAAAGACAAACACACTTCATAAGACAGTATTAAAGACAAACACACTCCATATAACAGTACTAAAGGCAAACACACTCCATATGACAGTATTGACGACAAATACACTTCATGTGACAGTATTAAGACAAACACACACCATATGGCAGTACTAAAGACAAACACTCCCCAGATGTCAAACACGCATGATTATGTGGACGTAGTAGAGACAAACACACTCCATTTGGAAGTTTTAAAGAGAAACACATTCCATTTGACAGTATTGAAGACAAACACACTCCATACGACAGTATTAAAGACAAACACACTTCATGTGACAGTACTTAAGACAAACACGCTCCGTATGTCAAGCATCCATGATCGTGGGGAAGTAGTAGAGACAAAAACTGTCCATATGAGAGTAATAAAGACAAACACACCCCATTTGACATTATTTAAGACAAACACAGTCCAGATGTCAACTAAAACATAACGGACCATTTATTTCTGTTGCCAAAGTCTGAAGCCATACACATCAGTAGTCGTCGAAATCAACACCTTCCAATAGCTCATACTCAAGCGCTTCTGCAAACCCATCCTCGTCGTCTAGAAGCACATTGCTGCCCTCTTCCGCCAGGGCATCGGCCCCACTCATAGCTGCATCGTCTGTAGGTATATCTGCACCCGCATCGCTCATAAACCCGGTTTTTTGAGCACATGCGTAGTCATCGCAGCCTAGATCATCCCAGAAGGGGTCGTCGTCCATGTACGCTAACGCGCTCGCATCCACTGGCGTATCTATGGCAACCCTGTCCCTTACCGACGACGTAGTATCGTGTACCGCACTTCCTGTGTCTGTGGGTGCCACCCCGGGGTCTGCGGAGCACAGGGCATGAGAAGAGCTTAACTATTAGACCACATAAGGACATAAACACAGGGGTGGTCCTGTCTGTGGCCAGCACTCAGAGGCTCGTTAACTGGATATGATTAATGCGTGTCTGGTTCTGGTGTGTACATGATAAAGTCAAAGCAGTTGGTTGGTTCGGCATGTCATATTGGTTTGACCGTACGCAGCTATACCGATCATGTGCTGGTCACTATGTTACGTGTGTACTGCTACATAGATGGCTACATGTACTAATAATACGCTACACATACAAATGTAAAGTTCATGTAGTAATAGAATGCCAAATGTATTAACACAAAGTTTCAAGTTCTTAACAATCTCCTCTACGAAAGTAACATATCACACAGAAACCATTGCCCTGAACATTCCCCACACGAAGGCCTTGCTTCACACACCCCAGTCGTCTATAGTGGGATCGCATTCGTCCCACTCATCCCCTGACAGAAGATGACTAATGGAGGTGTCGTGCTGCTCAATCCTGTCCACGTCATCCCAGAAGTCCGCAGGATAGTCATCGTCTGGTTGTGGAGGTGTGCGAGAGATAGTTATTGGTACGTACGATGGCAAACAAGGTTTATTCAGGGAGATTGCAAACAAGGTTTATTTAAAGGTGTGCACTGGTGTAGCCTGCACATATGTGTGTGGACTATTCATATACGCTTAGTGAATACAGGCCATTGCTTTTATATAAAGTAGTGGCATTGGAGTGCATCACTACGAAAAGCTGCGCATAGTAACTGTGAGACCGCTTGCGAAAGGAGACTGCAGCGGCGGACAGATACACTGGACTATAATAGCATTAGTGCCAACCCACCATTGCAAATGTATGACAACGGTAGTCAAAAAGAAACATCCCAAGCTCGGCACTGCGTGTCCATGAGTACTGCTGTATATGACCTTGATGATTTGAGAGTGCCTATGGCGGAGAATCCTAGACAAGACAAGCATAGCGATGCGACAAGCGTGAACGCAGCACGGCATGACAAGTGCGTACACGACAGTAGAGCAGCGCTACTCGCTCGATACACATCAATGCAGAGACCCACACAGGCCCAAAGTGTTATTCCCGCAGAGTACAGGCACGTTGATGATTGCGTGTATGGTATGTGCAGTACAGGCCTTTTCCCCGAGTATGCAATACAAATACACGCAACGGGCACCCACTGTCGCGTGCGAGCACTAGCACATAACACACTTGGACAGACATACACCACCACCTAAAGTAAGTAATCTATGCACACCCAAACCAATACCTGAAGTAAGTATAAATAAAAACACACACACCATTACCTAGAGTAGAGGTGAGAGCTTCTGCCGATGTGTGTGTGGGAGTGATGCTGACTGGTTTGTGCTTGAAGCTCTCGTCGGGTGTGTGGGCCTTGGTCACTTCGTTCTTGAGTATGACCTCCAACTTGCCTGTCACCGCAGTAAGAAATGAACTGAGCTTTTAAGTCGCCTGAGCACAGATCGGTTGGCCGTGTGGTGCGTTGTCTGCGGCGGCGTTGCCATGACTACCACCAGTCGACCCATTACATTGGATTACTTGAGTTACAATTGTAACTTTTATGTTAACCCTAAAACCCTAAAATCGTTAGGAGATAATTAATTGATTCTTGTGCCGTGGGAGAAGTCGTACATGCTCTCATCCGTAATGGACTTAGAACTCTCGTCAACCCAAAGTACGAACGTATAGACGGTAACCGGATTTGGTATATCGGGTGCGTTGTTTCATACACACTCCAATACCAAACCCATGAGGGCTATAGCGTACCAGAAGAAAACAGAGCAATCAGTATGTTGCGGAAAGCAGCCAGTTTCGCCTCGCGGATGGCGCTTGTGTGCATCCTCTTCGCGCGCGGCACGCCATCTGGCACATTCTGGTTCTCCACATCTGTATGAGTTACACACAAGTACTCGATTGAAGAATGGGTTACCCACAAGCATTGGAGTAATGAGCTGTGTGAGTGGTCTTTAGCCCATGCAGACGGATAAACTCGCGTAGGAAGTAGGCCAGAGACCAAGAATGATCGAGCATTTGGTTGGTATTAGGACAGGGAGAAAAAATCGGCATAAGTATAGAGAAATATCTCAAGCAATAGGCATGATGTAAAAGGATATATATATAGATATATATATATATATATATGTGTGTGTGTGTGTGTGTGTGTGTGTGTGTGTGTATGTGTATATATATATATATATATATATATATAACGTATCCATACAAATGTATGAATATTTGAGCACAAACCTGAGCTATGTGATCGTGCTATGCCTCTGCTAAGCTGCACTCGCCATGTGGTGATACGAATGTCCACGCAGGCCTCAACTGTCTCCTCGGACATGGTTGTCGTATTGTCCGATACATCTGTCGTACTGTCCGAAGTTTCGCATGGATCTACCCGTTTCACCTACAGGTGATATAGTAGATTGTCATGAATGGTAACCACCCCACCCCCATCTTAAATCCACTGCGAAAGCATCTCAGCAAGCCTTTGGAACAAGCTTTGTCGTGGCGACGGCGGTAACAACCGCTACTGTGCATAGCACATCTTGCCATTTGTGAGTACAGTATAATCCAACTGTTGAATTCTCGCACACATATCATTCCAAATACGTTTGGTGACTGGTAGCAGCCCACGCGATCGTTCCCAGACATATTGGCCTACCTACCATCATCCGCTTTCTCAGGCACTCTGCTCACTATCTGCGCTAGTATTAGATACAGATACTCGCACGACTGGCTGATCTATGGTGGTTCACTTACGTAGTTAATAATGGTGCACCAGTTGTTGAATCCCAAAGTCTTGTTCGCCAGTTCGGTGCAGGCGTGTACTGTCATGTATCCATTCTCAACACGATCTTTCCTCAGTAGAGTGCACTGCAGCGGTACAAATAACGTAGGCAGGCTTAAGCACAAATTATGCAACACCGCCATCCCTTGGTGCGAGTTCATCATTTAAACACATTAGAATAGGACACATTCAAGCGCATTGAGATAGGATAAGACACCATTGCGGCAATAAAGATAGAGTACAGTGCGATTGATATACATATGTTAGTACCCTGAGGCTTATATCATTTTGGGTGCCTCAAATCACAGGACAGTACCAAAGACCTGCACAATCGAGGAGAGGGATTTATTGTAACCCAATACCCTAAATAAACCAGCCAATACGTACCGAAATGGGCCTGCCTCTGAAGAGCATGGCGCCCGAGTTACAGTAGGCGATGGCATTGCGTGCAGATTCCTTTGAGTAGTATTTGATGTACGCGTACTGGTCCTGCCGGTGATAGCCGCCTATTGCAATGGCGTGTGGTGCAATGCCGTGCGCGTGCTTCGGTGTGAATGATCTGTGGCATTTTTGTTGTTGTTGCTTTCTCTGGTCGAGTGGGGAAATCCTTCCGAGTTGGGCAATGGTATGTATTGCACTGAGGAAGATACGGTTATACGTTATGTGGCCTATATAACGCATGAATCGCATGTTGAACATTGTACTGAGTGGGTTGCCACGCCCATGCAGCAATTGACAGAAACCGAATGCGTGCAACACAATACCACACATGGTGAGATGCCGAGTAAAGATGATATGTGCGGGTGAGCGCGCTGGTTGCTATGCAGCGTGCTGTGTTTATATGTAACCTACACAGAGAGCACGCATATTACGTGTGACGATTACGTGCAAGGCAGTATCTGGCTGCCTATGTCTATGGCGTACGTTGAGTAGCGATAACTTATATAGTTCATCGACGAACGCACAACTGACGAAATACATACAGTTAAGAGAAACAGTACAACTGCAAAGATAGTACTCTAGAGGGGAACGGAGGAGTAAACGGCGTTACGAATAGATATAAATAAAAGCACCGACCAATCAGAACTAGTCCACACCTCCCCCGGCTATCTGGGCCTCAAAGACCAGTCCAAACCGTTCAAAGAAGTCCTGTGACGAGAGGAATAAAGCGGTGAACAGCAGTGAGACTAAGTACCTCTCGTGTGATCAGCAACTGTACACCACTTGACACTGTGTAGTAGTATTTATACTGATATCTGTGCACGAGCTAATCGCGCACACAACAATGAAAGGTGCATAACAAGTCGTATATAAGCACGGATAACCCAATGTTAGCCTCTATACCAGTACAGCTAGCCGCTAACACAGACCTTGAGTTGGCTGTCGGTTATGTCTGTGAAGCCATTGTCATGTCGTGCGACTATGATGCGATCGCGCTCGTGGGGCACCTTGAACTCCAGCAGCTCGCATTCACCCATCGTCACGGACAGGTACAGATGAATACGTTCCACCGGTGATTAAACACGCTGTACGTGCACAGGTGCGAGCTACATATGCGTGTATTTGTACATGTGTACGTGCGTATGTCGTGTGGTGCTAAGGTATCATCTCGTAGCACATTAAAATTAATATATATATATATATATACATTTATTTATATAGGCTCCATGGGGGATCGAAAAGTCCGTACATATAAAGACGGGAAATAAAAACTGTAATACAAGAGCAAGTGGCAATTCTGTGGATATGACGGAGTTGCGCGCCAAAAAACCCCTGTTCAGATGATAAACTCAAAAGTCTAAACCCTCCTGTGAACCTAATCCCCTGATGAAAACTCTTAAGCCCCTAAAAACCACATACTAAATCCTATACAATCCTAACCCCAAACCCTAAATCTGTATATCCTAATAAAAAACCATAACCTCAGGCTCAAACTCATCATCTGATAACCCTACATCAGGGTATAGGGATAAGGCGCCAAAATTACAATGACGCAACACGTCGAGATACGAGCAATCCAATCCATTCCCATCATCAGACGACATTGTGTTGTATGGATGGCGTAGGCATGATCCATCCTATGTATTTCTACAGTGTATTTATAAAAATATAATATACATCATCAGTTGTATGCGTGATCTATAGCGTGCATGTACAAATTGATAAAGATTATCTGTAGAGTAGAGTGTATATATTATATCTATATAGTTGTACTTTGGTAGTGTGGTGAGAAGTGTATGCAAGCTTACCACCTTTATGAAGCGTCGCACCAATACAAAACATACTGTCAATGCAAGGTTTACTACCAATATAAAGTTTACTACTAATATAGAGTACACAAACAAGACTATTAATACAAAGTGATTTATCAATACAACATCGATACAAAGTACGTTACCAATATAAATTATACTACCAATGTAAAGCATACTGTCAAGACAAGACACAATATCAATTCATAAACAGGTTTTGTAACAAGCATCGATCAAATTTAGTTTGGGGGGCGGATACGCTTCTTCAGCATACACACCGTGTTTATTAAGAATAGCAAGGGTCCAGATCGAGCATTTTAGAACCCTGGGAATAAGTGGAAGCTAGCTTCAGCTCAATAGGTATTAGTGTGTATAATATCACTGTACGAGTACGTGTATAACTGCGTGCAATTAAAACGGGTACAAGTGCATAGATTGTAGCTGTGCAAGTACACGTCAAACTAAACTCACTTAACATTAGTATTAGTTTATAAAGAACCGATATCAATGTATAACGACATGCACTTGATAACAGCATTAGTGTATGGTAGAAGGCTAAACGTATTGACGTATTACTACGAAACCTACTGTGTAAA